CCCCCCCCCCCCCCCAATTTCACCTTGTTCCGGGTTTAGCTCACTACGCTCAAGCTTTTTTGACCGGGATCAAGCCGCACCAAGACCAGGTCTCAGACGTGGGCATTTTTGTGCATTTGTAGATGATCCTACCTCTGTTTCAAAGAGGAGAACGCTTCTTTTTATGAAAACCCCCAACTTTTTAAAAATATTTCAAAAAAGATTTTGTAAAAATAAATAGTTCCAAATTGAGAATAAATAATGAATGACATAAATGACCATTTTACCCCTCGTCACAAATTAAACACTTTTTTGTAAATTGTATGTTTGGGCCAAATAAGAAACATGTGGGCTCGAGAGCCCAAAAGCTAAAATTAAAAGGCAGAGGGCGCATCTCTATATATATTGAAAGTCGGTGGCTTGAAAGTAGTGATGACAAAAAACCGGTCCTTGGCCGGGACTGGCCGGTCCTTATCGGTCCCGGACATCAACAGTGCTGGTCATAGCCAGTCCGGTCGAAAATACTAAGCTCGATTAAACATTCATATAACCGGATATGGTTAGCCGGTCCCGACCAAAAAAAAATATTTTTAATCTTTTTAATGAAAGGTTTTTTAGTACATAATAAAATTTGTAATCGGGTCACTGAAATACACTTTAAAAATGTGTTTTATTATAATTAAAAGTCATATAACGGCTATATTTAAAAAAAAAACGGCCATTTTTTAAAAAAATGGGTCGGGCCCATAACCGGTCCTGGTTTCAGTCGGGCCGGTCCCTCGAAACCCACCAAAACCATAACCGGTTCCAGTCCTCCGGCAATCCCAAGCTGGGCCGGCCTTGTTTGGCCATCACTAAATCCGACCCAAAACCAAACATTCCCCCAAAATTCCCCGTTTCGGATTTCAATTTTGTACAAACAACTTGTTTTGGATTCTAGTTTTGGACTATTTAAATTTTGCATATCCCTAATTAAATATTGTAATATATTTTTGATATTAGGCGTCTTTGAGCATATAAAATCTATTATTACTTAGAGACCGTTTACTAAACGTTTATCCGGTAAATGCTTACGGGGTAATTTTTCTTACCGGATGAACATGACAGGTCGAATTTGATTTTTGCCTACCAATCTGTCCAAAAACCTATTATATATGTGTGTATGTATATATATATATATATATATATATATTAAATATTATATAAATATAATTATTTATCTAATTATCTCTCGAAAATACTAAATCATAGTTGGTCGTATTTTTTTAGACCACCTTTTGAAGCATATTTATTTAATAATTGAATATTTAAACACATTTTTTATATAACATTACCTTGTTGATCATGAAACCGAAATTTATTTTTTATGACGAGAGAAAAAATGGGAATCTAATCCAACTTCTTGTCACAATATTATCAAAATCCAACTCTTTGTCCTATATGATTAAACTCCTTGCTTTCAACTGATCAAAAATCTTACTTGATAAGAACAATGATAAAGATGAAGAGTCTTACTTTGTAAATGAAAGTGACGACTCTTACTCGGGTAAGCGCTTATCGGATAAATTGTTACATACGATACCATTTTCATATACTATATTTTTTACCTGATAAAATAAATAACAGTATTAACTCTTAATGATAAACACTTACCGAATAAGCATTTAGATAAACGACCCCGATCCCATATCTTGTTTCACCTTTTCTTTATAGAAATTATCAACACTTTTCTATTACTTAAAATATATTTTTATGCAAAATGACAAATAAATAAAAATGCTTTTGATTTTGCTTTTAAATAGGCATTGGCAAACTAAAAGTAGGGGTGAGCATAGGCGGGTACTCGCCCTTTTTGATAAGAACCGAAATCGGAACCGGCGGTTCTTGAGATATTGGAACCGGAACCGGTTAGAGCGGTTCTTAAATTTTTGGAACCGGAACCGTCGGGAACCGGTTCCGGTTCCGGGTACCCGCTTTCTAAAATATTAAAATTTTATTATTTAGAAATAAAAAATAAAATATTGTCAAAACACTAAATAAATAAGCAAGAATACAAATTATACAGAATAATTGTTACAAATATTGTTTAACAATTACAAACTATAATAGATTAATAGAAAATATTCAAAGTTTAACGATTACATACTATAATGGTAAATGTTCAAAGTTTAACAATTACATACTGGTAAATGTTCAAAGTTTAACGATTACATACTATAATGGTAAATGTTCAAAGTTTAACGATTACATACTATGAATTCAAGTGAATACACAATTTGAAAAAATACGAATCATTTTATATGGAGAATTTAGATGAAWAATGAAGATGACGACGTGCTTTCAAGATGTAAACMTAATATAAATTTGGTATTAAAAAATAATAATAATTTTTTTACTTGAAAAATACCGGATACCCGGCAGGTAACGGTTCCGAAAAATTGAGAACCGGAACCGGAACCATTCTCAATCGGTTTCGTATTTTAGGAACAGGAACCGGAACCACTCATATCGGTTCCGGTTCCGGAACCGACAGTTTCAAGGCGGTTCCGATTTCATAGTCGGGTACCCGGTTCCGCTGCTCACTCCTAACTAAAAGAATGATCAATATTATATATAAACTATTTAAAAATAAATAAATATTGCACCACATTTTTGACAAAAACATGAATTGGGGTGAAGTTTTTTTGACTTTTTTTTTATTATAATCATAAAAAAATTACTATTATAATGAGGTTTGAGTTCACGTGAGACCAATTTGTTTTCATGAAACCATAAGAACTTAAATTAACACTAAAACTTTATAGCAAAACGTTGTGATGATGTCAAAGTGTAAAAAAAGTTTCTAAAATTGTAGAGACCAAATGTGTTCTTTCAAATTTACGTATTTGATCCCTGTAATATTAGACCTGGTTCATAATTTTTTTTTTCTTACACCTATGACTATTTTTATTATCTATACTATATTATAAAGTATTTAACAAAAACTATTAAAAACCATCTTTTGTACATGAAATAATATTTATTGGTGCATATTACATAAAATTCAAAATTACAAGTAAATTGTACGTAAGTACAACTTATTAAGCTATGTGTTTGAATTTTTGTAACTAACTGTAGATAATATAATCAAATACATGATAAATTTTTTATTTTAAAATAAAAAAATATGATTAAAATAATTATTGAGTTTTAACAGAATAATTAGTTATTATCTTTATAAAAATTATATTATTACACCAAAAATCGTTATTAAATTTAAATTAAATTATAATAAAAAAATTGAATTAAAGAAATTAAATAAATAAGTGAGAACTTTTATAATATTTATCGTATCTTTAAATTTATATTTTATTAAAAAAACATTATTGTTTGTTCAAAGCCACATAAATTCATACTATAACATCAATAGAGACCAAAAAAATACATTAAAAAATCAAAATCAAAATATATCTTGTTGGATTGTGCAAGTACAAGGGTGATGTCTGATTAGTTTGAGCTTGGCTCCAAAGATCAATAGTACCAGGAGGTCACAAATTCAAATCCAATGAGAAATAAAAATCCCCTTGTGACCACCGAGAATCAAATCACAGGTTCAAATCCAATGAGAAATAAAAATCCCCTTGTGACCA